CTACGAATCCTCCCAGAGCAAATCCTGCCAGTTCACCTTCTATTCTCTTGTTCCTCTCCTTGGTCATGCTGGGATTGAAATATTTTTGTATCCCTAGTTGGTTTGGTTGAAGAGGTGAAGAAGAGATGGTGCCAGCGGGTGGCATGGTGGTTAAGATGCTGGAGTCCCACCTGGTCATCTGTGATTTGAGTCCTGGACCCAGCAGCTTGAAACTACGCTGGGTATGTGTGCGTGTGTGCCCCAAATCCTGAGAGGAGAATGGAGAAGGAACTGTGGTGTGACCATCCCCCCGGGGGGTGATTTCTCACTTTCTGTGTTTCTGGCAAGCACACACACCCTATAACAAAAATCTCTTTTTAAAAAAATGAAGAAGTGAAGAAGATAGTACATTTGTGGTTTTTGTACCCCAAAGAAAAATTTCACTGGGTTGAGACAGCCCAAGGGCATTTGGCTCATCTGTGTCCACATTAAGCCCCAGAGCCTGCTCTTAGATTTGGAAAATTTGTTTCAATTTGCCATTTGAAATCTCAGATTAAAGAGAACTGACAAGGGCCAACAGGTGGTGTAGTGGTTAAGGCCACATGGCCAACTCCCACATGGCCAACCACAGTTCAAGTCCTGGACCCAGTGGTTTGAAACCCATGCTGGGAGCATGTGTGTGCATGCCCATAATCCTGAGAGGAGAAGGGACTGCTGCGTTGCCATCCTTCCACGAAGTGATTTCTCACTTTTTCTCTGTCTTTCTGGCAAGGGCATGCGCCCTGTAGCAAAAACCAAACCAAACCAAACCTAACATGAGCAGCATTAGCTCTCACAGTTAGCCTATAGAAACCATTGAGGTCCTAGACTAGCAGTACTCTAGAGAGCCCCAGATTACATGTATCTACAAAAAACACTCCATACCAAACAGGTGGTTTGTCAGCAAGTTACCGTGGTTCTGCTCTAAAGTAATACATTCATTCCTATAACGCTTGTCATTCAGTAAGGGATAGGCTGAGAGGGAAGTGGGGATTGCCATGTCCCTTTGCAGAGGGGCAGTGTGTGGAGGTGCAGGAGTAGGCCTGACTGGGAGGGGCTGCTTGGGAGCTTGAAGGAACTGAGACTCAGGCCCCTGC